TATAGAAATCCGATCGGTATCCGACCGTCGGAATAAATGGGGATTTCGACAATCGGAAATTATCGGAAACGTATGAGTATCCGATTGTCGGATCCGATCTGAATTCTGTAACCCGGATTCCGATCGGATTTTTGTCGGTTTTCGGGTCCGATCGGATCCGTCGTCGGATTTTTGGACCTGGGTATACCATTCGATAGAGAATTTTACGAGCTACAAAATGGTATATGAAACATAAGGAAACAAGAAAGTTAACTCACCTATTGCAAAGATAATTAAACGAAATTCGGTTCTGTGTTTGTCCACTCTCTAATTGATCCATAAATAGAGCTCTATCTTCCGATCACAGAGATGATAGTTCAAGGTTTTCTGGGATGGAGAGCCCGAATCAGTGTTCCATTCGCCTCGAAATCCCATTGATTGAGCAGTGACCAATAGAAATCAAGTTATAGGAAAAACGAGTTTCTTAGGGTAAATGAAGGTGAAGAGTTCAAATCTGATATGTATCTGCCTCCAAATTCTATTGATTGAGCAGTAGCCAATAGAAATCAAGTGTTTATAGAAAAGGTTTGCCAGGACAATTTTGATGTCTACACATTCTAGGATGACTCATCTGTCTCATTCACTTTTTGAAGTACACATAACTCTCGGATTTAAATCCGAGGTTTCCGCATTTATTTTGCCTAATATATAAACGTATAGTAACGGCATCTACATCGACTTTCTCATACAAGAATCATACGTTAATTAAAAAGCAAAGCATAGAATTTCATTGTGAATTATTGAGACGTGCTAATCAAGATAATCTTCGCTTTTTTTCGATATAGCCTGGATTATGTTGTATTCTCATGAAAGAGAAATATGTACAATTTTTGAAGATATTACTTCATGAAACGCATAGATAGAAATACTAAAATCTGACAATCTCATTAACCTAGAAATATAGATATGTTCCAGAGGATAGAAGAAAATGAGGCACTACTAGTGTATTGATCTAAAACTACTAGTCAATGTTTGCTGTTTAATACACAAGAACATTCACATTAATTTAATCAAAACTGATCGTCAAAAGATGATGAATATTCTTTTGTAAAAGTTCCATGATACTTTTATCATTATAATTGAGAAATAAAATTCAACTGCCTTACTCACTACTTCATAGTTCTTTTAAGCCTAAAATTGACAATGATTAGTTACTTCAACTAAACTGACTAAAAAAAACACTATTATTTTTAAAATAATTTTATTTATTAATTAAATAATAAATCTGTACAGAAAACGAAATTATGATAATCAAATTTCAATATATTGACCATTATTTATGACATTAACCATCTTCTCATCTAATGTATTTAGGGGGAAATGCTTGACAATGTTTCATAATGATATACTCACATGTAAAAGGATCATCAAATAATGTATCTTTATCATAGGAAATTTTAAGATAAGATAATTGTTCCAATCGCATAAGAAATATATTAATAATAAATATACAATTGTTAAATGAATATGTTTGAAGTTCAATATGACTAAGTGATGGAAAACGTTCAACAAGTTTAAAGACGAAATTTGAAGGAAAATAATTATTTTTTGTTACCAATTTAATCATTTTAATTTGTTTGAAAATTGAAATCAGAGATGAATGATCGATTAGTTTCGATAAGAGTAATAATGGAATACTTATTATAAGACTAATCACATTTGGACATGCTCTAAAACAATATATATTAAAAATATATTTTCTTTTTTTTTCTAAAATAAATAAACATACTTTAGAATAAATATAATATTTTTCCATTGATGAATACTATACGTTGATCCAAATTCTATTTTGGTTACATTTTTTAAATTAACAAAATCTGATATATAAGTGACATATTCTTGTGCATTATTCTCTTCATCAATTGTTTCTCGAAAATTAACTAATATAATCAAAAATCGGATTCAACATCATATGATATTAAATAAATTATTCTGATTAAAAAAATTTATAGGAAAACATGCTTCTTACCAATATTGTATAAATAGTTCGACCATGATGATTTAATAATTGGAACTTCTACGAGAAGATAAGTAATATGTTGAAATAAAGAAGAAGACCAAGTAATATTACATTTTTCATTTTCTATATATAATTTTAGATGTTCTATATTAGAATAAAAAGAATAATGCTCATTTATTGCATTTCTTGTTGATTGTATTTCAAATGTTCTACAAGTAATTAAAGGAATCTTTAAGCTTGCAATTAGTTTGGCTTTGGTATAATTCAATGTTCGTAATATAATAATTTCATCTAAAAGAAAGAATATAAATAAATGTTCGGAGTTAATTAAAAATTGTTTTAATGAATTTTCATACTCTTATTTAATTACTTAAATAATTTAATTTACCTTGAAAACGATGACCACATATCCATTAATCAATAATCATATCCCAATTAGAATATTTTTTAACAAAATCTAAATCTATTTTTCGTGATCTTTTCGTAACACTCATATGATATTCAAATTTAGATAAATATGGAAGATAAAGTTCGAACATTTGTTGCCATACATATCCATTAAGATATTCATTAGTAAATGACAACGATTTTTGTACGAGAAGTTGAAAACAAAAATGTTTGAGATTAGGCATGCTACGTAAAATATACGATATTGACCAAATATTACACACAGAACCAATTAATAATTCGAAATATGTTAATTGTGATAATATAGGAAGATCGTTTTCAGTCACAGACGATGAATGATTTGAAACACTGAAATAAAACAAAATCTTTATCTTTTGAATATGTTTATTTCTATATATATATATATATTTATTGAATTATACAACAACTTACTTAATATTATTATTTTTTTCAAAACGTTTTTCACTGTATAATGCAATCCATAGATATTGTATTTGATGACAAAGACGAAAAAATCGTATAACTGAATGAATGGATACAGTTGAAGGTGAACCAGCAATTCGAATACTAAGTGATCGAATATTTGAAGGTATGCATTGATAATTTGATAGATTTAAGTAATGATAAGGATATTGAAGTTCAACTGAATGAAGATAAGATGATTTGTGTGTTAATATTATTCGAGTCAATTCATCATTATTTTCTGTTAATTCTATACGATCTGGTTGAAAAATTTTAAATATAACAAGTCTATTAAAACTTTCAATTTGTTTAATAATATTACCAAGTTTAGTCATTTAATTAATTGACAAAAGCTTACATGATCTTAAATTAGGAAAATTATGTCGATTAAATAATAATCTAATTATAAATGAATCATCACGAATAGTGTCCGATATATTTATTGAAATAACTTGATGTTCATGAAAAGTAAGATGAGAAGAAAGAAAATCAATTTGACGACGACAATGTTCTCTTGAAATTACAATATGAAGTGGAATTGCTTGTAAAATAGATGATATTCGTCTATTGAATAAAGTAAAGCCAGTAAATAAATCAGACATGTGTAAATAATCAAATATTTCAAAGAATATTTCATTGGGTGTGGGTGTGGGTGAAGAGAAGATCAAAATCACACCCACACCCACCCCTATTGCTATTTCTTATTATTTTGTTATACAATTAACACCAAATTCCTAATATAGAATACTCACGGATATTGATTTGTTTTAAAAGATGAAATTAATTCAAGAATGGTTAACAATGATATCAAACGTGTATCTAACTTTCTTATACAAGCCTGCATTGATTTTACAGATTTTGTCCGACATTGTTACATCAGATTTATTCGAAACTGGATTACAATTATTGCTAAATGTTTGTTGAACATCAACAATTGAACTAATCGAAACCAGGGTCACCATGTCATAGCATATCTTTCATCTCTCGTTTTCTTGCAAAATAACTAGGCTTTTTACTTTTTTGCTTAACGTCATAAGAGGAAGACGAAAGAGAAAAAACAAAATGTACTACTTCACATTAATAATTACGAAAATTATGCATTTTTTCAATGACTAGTTCATAAAAATAGATTCTTAACCTTGGGAGTGTCACTGATTGTCATGTTTGATAAAACTTTAGAAAGATGATCAAAATGTTCTGACATGTCTGTCTTTAGAAAGCCGTTTTTTAAATAAATATGTATTATTCTACTTTGTGTATATTTGCATGCATTGCATATTTTTCTTTCGCCATCTTTTCTATTCTAATACATTCTTTCTTTAGAAAAAAAAACCTGATGCATGGAAGAGAACAATTTCTTGAAGAGAGAGACAAATATATCTTTTTTTTTTTGTTTTCAACGGAGTATGAGTTTTATTTTTTTGTTTTGAAAAAAAAGGGACGCTTCGGAGATTGAAAAAAGAGAGCAATTAATAGTATATAATAAAAATGAAAACAGTCTCCGTCTATGAACTAATTCAACTATGGCCTCAAACAGACTAGAAGAATTAAAATTGAAAGTGAATTAAGAAATGTGATAAGAGTTTCTACGTAGCAACACCAATCAGAATTTCCTCATTCAATTTTAACTCTTCTAGTTTGTTTGTGACCTATGCATTCATCAATATTACATTTTCTTTTCTTCAACAAGGTCAATCATTTTATTGGCCAATAAGAGCAGAGGTTCTAAGTGAACAATCAATAGATAAATATATATATATATATATATTGTGTCAAGAAAAGCATCAGAACGACGCTTCAGTATGAGTCAACGTGATATTAATCTTCTTGATTTACCAAATGAGATATTATTTAATATTTTGAAAAAACTCAATAATATGGATGTTCTTTACTCACTACTTGATATCAACAATCAACGACTTCATATTATAGCACAAGATAAAATCTTCACAAATATTCTTAATTTTGTTTCCATATTATCAACTAATGATAATTCTTCAATTTCTAATCAAAAACTTAATAGATTTTGTTTTGAAATATTACCTCAAATTCATCATAATGTGAAATGTCTCATTCTCGAATTAGTTTCTATAGAACGTATTCTTCTTGCTGGTGAATATCCTAATCTTACTCAACTTAAAATTTTCAATTTCAATAAAGAAATCATGTCACGTTATTTCAAAGGTAATGAATTCACACATATATTGATCTTTGTTCAAAAGTTGAGATATAAAAACATATTCAAAAATAAAGATTATGCAATATCTATGTGTTTGTTTTTTGTTTAGATGATTCTGTCTTTCAACATATTTGTAAACAAATTACGGACCTTAGTCTTATTGGTAACGAAAACAAAATTGGAATACTATGCACGAATTATACCATGAATGTTTATGCAACTATTTTGATTTTCTTCAAAAATCTCAAGCATTTGACAATTGCGCCATTGTCCATCAATAATCATCTACCTTTATCACTGAAAGATTTGTCACCGATTACATTTTCGTCTTCAACACTTACTAAATTATGTATTAATGTGCTTCATTTTGATGATTGCCTAGCTTTACTAGATGGTCGTCTTAAACAATTAATTACATTTATTGTTCAAATTGATTTTATCTATGATATGCCATCGATATCTTACAACATGGTAAGTTTATGATTGTGTTACTATTATTATTTGGGATCATCGATAAGGATTGTCAGGAAAAATTTAAAATTGGAGTTCTTCTGTGAGTTTGGAAAATTGAAGTGGAATTTTGTGGAGCTGAAGACTAGCACATACTCGAAGTTTTCCATCTCTGGTATTTATTCATTCAAGTAATTCATTTTAGAGAAACCTATATAGAAAATTTTGTCTGAAGATTTTAAACATATTGAGAAAATTCATTATATTGTATTTTATGCTTTTGTCAAATTATTGATTAGTCTTATATTAAGAACTTAAGCAGTAAGAAGTTATTATCTTAATCGTGATTATTAGCTAATATATAATTTATAGAGTACAAATGGACATTTAAAGAGAGAATTAATAAAACCTATGAAACATATTATTTTATTTTTGTCTAAATTTATCTTTTAGTTAAATCGGTATAGATATACTGTTCTATAGACATTTCTTTTTAATTTGTAGGATGATCTACCTAATTTGAAATGTTTTTCATTAATATGCTATAATGCAACTGGTTTATATGACAATTTAGTTGTATCTCTTCTTCGCCGTATGTCACATCTTGAAGAACTAACTTTGCATGTTTGTATCTTAAATCGACCTACATTTATCGATGGTATTCATCTGCATAAGGAAATTCTGATTTATATGCCACGACTTGATAAACTTACTTTTTATATTAATACAACAAATGAGATCAATGGTTCAATTCATCGTCTATGTAACGATGATATCCAACGAACGTTTTCATATATAAATCATCGTCAAGTGATTTCTATTGTAGATTATTTTGGTAGTTACAAGGCCGCATGTCATGTTTTCTCTCTTCCATTTCCATTTCATCGTCTCCAATGGATCACGAACAATTTTCCACCTATTATATTTAGTTCTGTAACTCATTTGAAGTTATCGGATACTGTTCCATTCAAACCTGAATTTTTTATTCGAATTGCACGATCGTTTCCATCACTTAAATATTTGTCTGTTAGTAATATCCGATCTCTATTGTGGAGCTTTCATGAATCTTCTTCAATTAATGATCATTCATGTTCAATTGTTGAATATTCTCATCTGATTTCACTTGACATTGATTTTGTGAATATTGATTATGTTGATCAGTTTCTCAATGAAACAAAAACATGTCTACCATGTTTAACCGAATTAGTAGTTCAATTTGACCCATTGAAAAATGTGACAGAGAATTTTACAAGAGATGCGACGCGACGAAATTGTGCTAAAGTGAAACGATTAATTGTTAAAAATTTAATAGATTTTCCGCAAGATGTTTATCGCTATTTTCCTTCATTGTAAATTCAGATTTGTTTTTTTTTCTTATTTAAATAGAATTACACGATATATATTCTCACTTCTGTTCTTATTGAAGGTGAAATAAGACAGAAGAAGGATGTAACTAGCATTTTTGGAAGTAGTAGTATGGTTATATATTACATTAAAAAGTGAATATTGATGAAATTTATCGAATTAAAACATAATTCAATATGAAAATAATACGATATTTATATTGGAATATTTGAAAATGATGTTTTTAATGTTTTCTTTTTCAAATTCATTTAACAAGACATATATGAATCCTATTATTCATAGGAAATCTATATACTATTGTTTAAATTATCTTGAAGTATGTTTGAATTTATTTTGAATTGCATAGTTTTGACCATATATAAAATAGAATCTGCAATAAGTTTCATTGAACGTTCTCAAGGCTAATACTTATTTAAATTAATAATAGATTATCTAAAACATGTAGACAAAGCAAATACATATAATTCTCTCAATTATTGTTGTTCATCAATCCATGTAAGATTGATCAGCATTACTTCGGACATAGCTTTTATTGAAAAAGGCGATTTAGCATTTTATCTAAAGTTTTCAGGAACTTTTTTAGATTTAGTTAATAAAATAAAATCTCGTATAACAATATCAGTTTTCTCTTGATTTCAATATTGCTGATGTAAATTCAACATTTGATATGATGTTCCAGTATTTATTATTCATATTGTTATTCTCTTTAATAAGTGGAAATCAATATTCACAACAGATGTTTTTCATTGACTTTGACAGATAAAATTTTGGCTACTTCTTGATTGCGGACACTATTTTTTACCAATTAAGAAAAAAATGTCCGCAAAGCAAAATCCTAGGGGAAGAGACAAAAATGACCGCAAATTGGAATTAACACTAATTAATTAGTGAGAGAAAACCATACATGAGAAGGAAAGAAAAGAAACATTTAACGTTGTTTAGGTATATAATCAAGGTCATCTTTTTCAGTTTCTATATATACAAATCCATACTTGACTTTCAGTTTTTTTGGTTCGTTGCAAACCAAAATGATAGTTTTTAAACATTATGGCATCATTGCCAAATTGTGTAGTAATTTTAGAAAAGCTATTACAGCTAACGATCGACATTTTCATTTAATTCATTTTACTTTATTTCAGTCACTTTAAATACTTTAGTTACACACGCATGTAAAAGAATGGCCTGGACAACACGTGACACCCATCACTGAGCTAGCTCTAATAAGATAGTATCTTCTCTGAAACAAACCATCTGCGCTGGTCATCTCCTTGTTTTTATTTCCACTTGTTTCCATAATGCGGATATTTTTCAATTTGCGGTCATTTTTGTCTCCCTCCCGATTCTCCTTTGCGGACGTTTTTTTTTCTCCAATTAAGAAAAACCGTCCGCGATCAAGAAGACCCGAAAATTTTCTATATTTTTTAATCATTGTCATTTTATAACAATGAGAAGCAGAAATTCAAAATATTATCTAAAGACAAATATATGATAGGATTTAGAAAGATTATATTGAAATAGTAAACAAAAACTAAACATGAATAGATTTCAAGAAGATCAAACGATTGACATTGTTTTTAATAGTCTGATCATTTTTTTCAATAAAATTTTAATCTTCGAATTTCTGATAAAATATATCAATATTTCGAATTATTTTTGATAGAAACAAAGTAGTGATTTGCATTTTTCACTGTTTAAAAGGTGAAATGAAACTAGAATCTTGCGAGAACGATAAAATAAAAAATATCCATTCCCGGAAATCCGTTTGTCCTACATTTATATTCGCTAAAGTATGTTCGTGTAGCAAATTTTTATTTTCAATAACGATTTTCATATATAATAAACAAAAAAAAACAGCAAATATCTATCAACTTTTATCTGATCTTTAACATACTATCTTGTTAATTCAATCTCTATTTCTTTTATCATCATGTAACTTACCTAATGGTATTAGTACACATCCGCATTCGCAGAATATGAATCAAAACATTGCAGATTGATAGTATCGATAATAGATAAATTCAATTTCCGTGTAGCCTACTATAACCTATGTCACATTCTGAAAAACGTAATGCTGTGAGAAGCTAATATTAGACAACGATAGTTTTTTCAAATACAAAAAAAATGAAATACCGTTAAGGATTCTAAACGCCTTACGGGAACTCAAAAAAGTTGCTTCGACAGGACTCTGCTAGAATGATTAATTTTACTAGCAGATTTTTTACAAAACAACTGACTTTTTTTCTTGATTTCTCACGAGAAATTCACTTTCTAAAACCAATCTAAAAGTTTCGATTTCTCTCATTTGAACAGTAAAAACTACAGATCTTTCTCTTCTTGCTTTCTGAAGTGGATAATAGTTGCTGATAGTCTAGAAACGTCAAGAAGGAAAAAGCTAAAATTTCCCCACTTTTGCATACTTCAGGGATATATAAAAAGCTATTCTCTAGCACTATGTCACTGTTTTTTCTTTGATAAAACTTTATTTCAAAGATTCTTTAATGAAATTTTTTTAAATATTTTTGGAGAAAACTCGATTCGACTATTTCGAGTGAAACAATTTATAGATAAAGTTTTATCAAATAAAACTATAATAATCTTGTATAAATAGTCTTTACCTTCCAGCAACTATTATTCTTATATTTATTTGAAATTTTCATACGGATAGATTTTTATGTTTCGTTTCGACGAAGAACATTTCATGATACATCTTGAAAACATATATATTATATTTAGGAACAATTATTAAATGGCACTATTTGAATTTTTTTATCCGTAACAATTGAATATACGCAATAATAAAAAATGTTCCAGATATTAATAATAAAGCAAAAATATTTTTCCATATATCCCAAGTTGTTGCATAAGATATATGGCGACGTTTTAAAATCTCTTCACCTTTCATTGAACATTGATCAGTGTCATATGGCAAGCATAATGTTAAATTTCGAAATTCATTAATTGCTAATACATTTGATGCATAACAAAAAACACTTATCCATTGAATTCATCGAAGAAAGCTAAGAATACTTCCTATATTAATAAGTAATTCACTAAAAAGCATCATAGTTACATATGACCATAACAAGAGCAATATCTAAAAAAATATAATATAAATATATTTTAAATAATCTTTATTAAAATTTTTAACCAAATGTTATAATGTACTAGCAGCAATAAAATAACACATAGATAAACCAAATATTTTTGCCATGAGATTTGTTATAAAAAAAAAGAAAAAAAATTTCAATCGATTGACGAAGATCAGTCAAGAAAAAAGTAATTATTCTATAAATAATAGAAGGAATAATATGTATCAATGGTAAATTAATTATTAATTTAGCAAGATAAAAACTTGATACTCGATAATAATCACTAACATTTTCCTAGAATATATAATTTACATTAGAATGAAATTTAATTTAAATAGACAAATATCATATTTATTAGATTTCAAAAAAACAAATAAATTTTTACATGAATAAAAATTGCTCGTTCTTTGATCAATGGTTCTAATGCATTGACTGCACCAAGTACTTGACAAGATATAATAAAAAAAAATTGCACCAAAACGATTATATACATCTATTTCAACTGTATTATCTGATTTATTAAAAATTAAACCTGTAAATAAACCATATATAATAAAACTAACAATTTGTGATGCAAATAATGATGGATTTCGTCGAACATTACATAATGTTCGTTGTGAAACATAATAAAATTCATTAAAATATGTTCGACTTGTATTATATTTTAATAAATAATTATCTTTATTTTCGTTTATATTTATATCTTTTTTTTTTATTAGTTGACAAATATTTGAATGCATTTTTGAATGAAGATAAGCTGTTTGAAGTTTTTTTGAAGAATTATTATTCGATTGAATAAGTAAATCAAGAACAAAATCTGCTGGATTATCATGTTCTTCACAATTAAAACCATATGAAGAAAAGTAAGGTAATACTTCATTAGATAGACCTAAATAAATATTATGACCAGCGGAAAGAAATAAAACTTTATCAAATAATTTGAATATCGAATAATGAGGTTGATGAATTGAAAAAATAATTGTTCCTGAAAATAAAACAACGACAAAATCAAATATCATCATTATATGAAAAAAAGTATTTCTATATAACCTACGTCCTTGTCTTGATAATTTATGTAAACAACTGATAACATTCTGTGCTGTACATGCATCAAGTCCTATTTAAAAAAAAAGAAAAATAAATTATAAAATAAATGAAATGATTAACCTGTAGTTGGTTCATCTAAGAAAAGAAGATTAGGTGAAAGAACTAATTCCATTCCGATACTTGTTCTTTTTTTCTCTCCACCTGATACACCTCTTATAAAATCAGTTCCAATAAGAGTATCAGCACATGATTCAAGATTTAAATCACGAATTATTTGATTGACACGTTCAATTCGTTTATTCATTTTTATTGAATGTGGTAAACGAGTATTTACAGAAAAAAGAAGATTTTCTCGAAAGGTTAATGTTCCACTAATGATATCTTTAATGAAATATAAACGAAAAGAAAAAAGAAAAAATAATAAGAATATTGAAAAATTTCTACCATCTTGAATAACATAACCAATAATATATTTGAAATAAGAAGGACGAGTTTGTCCTGATATAAGAACATTTCCTGTTAATTCATGACTATCTTTTCGATCTGCAAGAATATCAAGTAGAGTCGATTTTCCAATCTGTCGGTCCTATTATTAAAAAGAACATTTATATAAAATCTAATTGATTCGATTGGTAATAAAAAATAGAATATAAATCGTACCTAATGTACTATATAGTCCAGGAGTGAAAACTCCAGAAACATTCGTAAGAATTTGTTTGTTTGGTATTGGATTCCAAAATGGGAATATTTTTGTTTGCCATCGATTTAATGATTTATTTTTCACTCTTTTATCACCAATAATATAATTAATATTGTAAAATGAAATTGTTACTGATTGAAATTCATTTTGATTCAATGAGATTTCAATTGATTTTTCTTTTTCTTTATTATTGACGACTAAATCATGTTGATGATGATAAGTTAAATCTGATTGAATTGATTCAATAATAATAATATCATTATAAACAGGTGTTGGTGTTGTTGTTGTTTTAAGTAAAGGACAAATAATATCTTCTTTTTCATCATTTGTTACTATCAACATTGTCATTTTTTTCTAACTGATTATTGTAATGGAACATCGAACAGTTTATTCTTTGATAAAGAGAAAAATGTCAAGAATATCACGTATACTTATTTTATCATGACTACTTGGATTGAATTGCATTGTTACCTTATCGTTAACTCGTTATTCCACTAGTAAGTAAATTATGCATAGGATCCTTTTCGAACTTTTTTTTGTCATTTTAACTCATATTCAATTCGAAAAATTAATAATTTACATATTGACCAAAAGAAAAACAAAATCATACAACAAAATAATAATATCAATATAGATTCGATTATATGAACAATTGAGTTTGGTCAATATGCATTAAATCATAGAATCATTTGATTGTTTCGAACTTTTTCTGTTTTTATCGAAATTAAATATAAAATAGAAGTTTTTAATAAAAAAGGAACAATATTTGCATTTTCTTTGTTTCTCATTCTTTAATTAATATCCAAAATAAAAAAAAAGTCCTATTAACATCGTTCAAACACTTTATATAATTGTTGTACTTCAGTTAATTTAATAAAAGCTTGTCGTAAATGTTTTGATGGAACAAGCATTGTTTTAAATGCATGATAAAGTAAATGTTCAATAGGCCAATGTTGTTTTTCTTCAGTATCTCCATCTTCTTCTGAATAAATATGCATTCGATAAGAATAAAATTTTCATATTTCATCAGCAAATGTACGAAAACATTCACGTTCTTCTGTCCAATTAACTTCTTTAGATAAACGAAGAATAAATTGTGGTAAATAATCAAGATTAGGTACATATGTATCAAGTAAAATAGGAAGAGTTTCTAAACGTATTGGTGGATCTTTTGATGATATACGTAATGAAAAATAATCTTCAAGCATTTCATTACGTTCTTTTAATAGGATGTGGGTGTGGGGTGGAGTGTGGGTGTACGTGTGTGAGTGTGGGTGTCGATGCTTTAATCTCTACCCACATCCACACCCTCAAATGCCAGTTTGTACAGGACAGAGCTCAAAACGTAGAACGATACACATTAAAATTTTCATCATCTGAACGTTTGATCTTCAATTCAATGATTATCATATAAACCGAAAGAATAAAAATTATCAAAAACCAGACTTGCTTACCGTAAGCAGCTCGGTTGATAACTAATTCTGAGAATAGTACTTCAATCTCCAGCCACTTTTATTTGTACAGTAAGAAGAGTGTGGGTGTGGTGTGAGGGTGTGAGTATGGGCGTGGGTGTGAATGTTGGATGGAGGTGTTGGTGTGGGTGTCTAGGGTGTGGGTGTTGAGTGTAGGTGTGGATTATCCCTCTTTTTACACTCATACTGACATTCACACCCCCAAATCCACGCCCACACCCCGCACGCCACAGCCCACACTCACACCCCTACCTACACCCACCGTTGTATTCTTTTAGCTAAACTAAACCAAGTCGTATATATTTTTTCTTATAATGTTGACCATCACGTAGAAAACGAGATAAAACTTTGAAAAATCAGTAAGGATCACCAATAAAAATACTTTTTTAAGTAACATAAATTTGATATACTGGTGTAGACAATAGGAAGGTTATTTTTCGAATAGCAACGAATCTCAACTACGAACTATTATTTAGTCGCTATCCGACAGATTCCAGTCGCACAAGAAACATATTCTTCAAGCAGTTCTTTGTTAGGTGCATCTGGATTGAGTTGGAAACGTATCCATCGAAATGTTTTAAATCCTACTTCTTTGAATATGTCTTCATAGGTTTTTGGTAACCAGCAAATATCGACCAATGTACCTAATTCTTGGCCATCATTGTCGTACATTGTGATATCTAATTTCGTCCCATCCGGTATTAGTTCACCATTAAAAGGAACTTCTGATTCCATTTTCGTTCCGAATTTCCGAAATTTATCTGTATCGAGCAGTTTTCTTCCAGCCACGACATTGTTTATTACACCAACAAAAGGTTTATCTTCACCCAGTTGTTCGTAGATCGTACGCACTATTCGAAGTAGTTCATCGCGTGTTTCAATAATGCAAAGAAGATAAACTGCTGTCACTAGATCGAATGGCTGCTCTGGAATAGGCAATTCTCTGGCATCAATGTTTTTATATTCAATATTTAGTGGATTTTGAACTTCAGCATTCCTAGGGAGGTCTATCATGGTAGAGCTTATATCGACGCCCAAAATATAAGAACAATTTAACATCTTTAATTTTCGTGTGTAGTAACCATCACCGCATCCTAGATCAAGCACGCGTAGGTCGGCTAGTGAACCATTCATGTCAGGAAACGAGCCAATCACACATTTTATAATAGTATAGTCAACGACGTACTTTCGAATATCTAGTCCATTCAACTTCCATTCCCTATATTTTGATCCAATACAATCATATTCCACTGTTTTAGAAGTCATTATTCATTCTAGATTGTTCACACCAAAAACCGATGTCGTGATGTCGAACTACAAGTAATAAGACATATTTTAAAAAGCAACATTTTGAAAAATGGCACTAATCGATATAAATTTTTCGTACTAATATATGTTCAATACTAGCAGCAAATATTTATGTTTTTAATCAGTAAGCTATTTGTAAACAATATCAGTCTGCAGGAGACAATTCTATAAATTTCTGTGACAAGTATAATTTCAACCTAAGCACTTCTATCCTATGCTACGTAATAAGTATGATACCGCAGAAAATTCTCCCAGATGTCTGAGTGCTTCTCAATACTCACACTCCGTCATCCAGGATCAAAACATCTCTTTAAAAAATAGTGTTATAACTGCTAAAATAAAAAAAAACTCATATTGATCAAATGCCCTCTCGTTAGAGAATACGAAGAAACAAATGTCCTTCTACTGTGAGTTCTTATCGTGAAAAAAATACAATCATGTCTCTCACAATCCAGTTAACAAGTTACCTACGTGTTAGATTTACAAATATTTATTCTTTTTCTTGTGCATATATGAATATACATTCAGTTGTTAATGCCTGTTAGAGGTATATGGTGTTGGGTGTGGATGTGACTGTAGATGTATCGATCTGAAACAGTGCACTCCTAGCCATTCTCTTGTTAAGACTCAATCCCACTCCCACTCACCCACACACACATTCACCTACGTCGACACCTAGATCCTTAAGCCTTCTTTCGTCTGAAATATTTTTACTTCTGCAAGGTCTCTGTCATAAATCGTCAGTTAGTTTAATTTGGAATTACTAAAGAGAAAAATAAGTAAAAATAATAAAGATCATGACACAGAATCTTACGTACAAGACTAAACGGTTTAAAGTACATTTTCGAACATTTAAAATAAACAGTATAGTATAACTGGTGAAACTTATTTGACGGATTTATAGTTGCCATTAATAGTATTATTATAACTCATCCCAAAGATATAATTTGCACAATATACATTTCACTCTTATCATTGTCGTCATCCACTATTTCACAAAATATCAAGAACGGAAAAATCTGTATATACAAGTCTTTCTTTACGATAGCATCGTTTATAAACGTGTGCGAAAAGATTGATCATAATCTCGTTAGATTATTATTCTTATCGACAAATTAAAATATTTAAAATAGTATAAACTCAAAGTTGCGACACTCTTCATATAGAAGACTTCCTACCACCGACAGAATTATACATGGCTTAGCTTGCTTGTATCGTCAACCTTATCAGACACATACAAAACTGTCGTTTATATATTCAATGAACGAAACAAGAAAGAAAGAGGATGTTGAATGACAAGAATAATTGTAACCGTTTTAAAATATTGATGTCAGGGTGTGGGTGTGGGACAAGTCATCTTCACCCACGCCCATACCCACACCCACACCCACGCCCATACCCACACCCACACCCCACCCATGTCCACACCCCACACCCACACACTCCGTGGCTGTGGCTGTAGGTGTCTCTGTTTCTTACCTTCAGAACCGCGTCTACACTCACACTCACACCCACATTCAAATCCTTTTCTACTAGTTAAATATCTCTGATAGTAGCAGGACACGGATGCACAAGATAAACGATTTTCGTTCTGTTTGTATCTTGAGTGAGAAAATGTCTAGTCTTTATTCTATACTTATCTATTGTAGAGACTTGTATATCGATCTTTAACTTTTCCTTCTATTGATCATCCATCATTTCTCAGAGATCTGACCTGGACAAATGTGCGTGATTCTATTTGTTTGAAATAATTTTATCATTACAGATGTCGGTAGATAGTATGAAAAGTCATTGTCACGTATTTTTCAACAAAAATAAATATCAATTTTTTTTATTTCATACTTGATAATCATCTTTAAAGCATCTTTTATGCCTAGACTTCATTAAGATTGAATTATAACTGCTCAAGTGAGTTGATCAGCAATACCAAAAATTATGCTCCTGGCAACATACTATTGCCATATTTCTATTCACATATCAAAAAGAAAATATATCTGTTATTCTATTTCATTTGAAATATCAAATTACTTTCTTGAGCTTTGTAACATGCTCTGTATTTATTTATAGTTATTATTCAAACGGTTCAGAAACATCAGCCGATGACGAATCAAATTTTCAAACATTTAAAGAATCTATATAAGCAAAGTCTTCATATCAATTTTCTTGATTTTTTCAATTGTTTTCGTTCTTATACTCTGTGGATTTACATATGTAATTAAGAAGGCATTATTTAATGCGAAACAATAATAATTGACTTCATACAGGATGACTTAATAATGAATCGTTTTGTTCAGAAGTACCCTATTTCAAATGAAGACTATTTTGTTTTGAATTTGCGAACGCAGCGAATATTATTTTTTCCAATTCTTTTGCTGCAGCTATTTAATCTTTTTGCTCAATTGCAATAATAAAATAGAGTGAAAGAGAACTTACAGAAAGCAACTTATCATGCTAAAGAGAAAAAGGAAAAAAACAAATTTATCGCAAATGCGTGTGGATGACGGTGGATATTCTGCTTCTAGGTATGATTGAAGACAAACGCCTAGATCCTTTTCATCACAGTTGGTAGATCACCATCGAGCGTTAGTGTTGTGAAGTCTGATTGTCAATATTGAAAAGAAACAGAATATTCATGGATCGAATACTGGACTGTCGACCAACATCATGCGAATACGTGATGGTTGGCTAGGTATGTAGTGAATCGTCTGATTGCTCACAATAGGTGTCAGAATATCAGTCGCAATTGCGACACCGGTGTTTGGATTTACGCTGTGCCAAGGATAGAAGGTACTCGTAATCGTCATTCGAATACGATGCAATCGCTGAAAACTATGTCCGATTTCTTCCAGATCTAGACGAACGAAGTAAGTTGAGCTGGGTGTGGGTGTGGGTGTTGTTCTTTTCTTAAGGAAAACCCACACCCCACACCCACACACCCACACCCACTGCGGAAGAATCAGGACAAAGTGTAGGTGTGTGGGTGTGGGATATAGGTACTTTTAAAGAATAGGCCACCAATATCCACATCCGCACCCACAGCCACACCACCCACCCACATCCACACCACCCACACGCACCCACACCCACACCACCCGCTCACATCCACACTCACACCACCTACTCACACCCACACCCTTAATATATCCACTTTCATAAAGTTGTTGTCCTATATCAGCCAAATATTTATCAGTATTGTAATTTCGTTGATAAAGAATATATCCTATAACTTGATTAATTGATAAGTTGTTTGATAATACAAATTCATCCAATTCAGAATATAAATCAGATAAATGTCTTCGTTTCTGAGGAGATGATACTTCACTAAAATCATGTTGTCTTATTGTTGTAGTAGAAAGATCAACAGTCGATATTTCTGAAGAGAGAGAAAAGAATGTTGCTGTTGATGATGTACAGGTTGTTATAGCCGT